ATAAAGAACACCATAGAATAAGAAGAACACTAACAAACATCAAACGGCCGACTAATGGCAAATACAATGACAAATTACATTCTTTTACAGATGACATTTGCTTGTGGCTTTGCTATACTAGCGCCGCATAGCTTTGGCAGTCATGAAACTCTCATACGTGCAATTTTTTAGACAGCTCCGAACGAACATTTTACATGGAAGTTTCCTATCTTTAGGACGAGTTAATCTGTGATGGCAGATGATTGGCCTTCAAGCGAAAAATGGAACAGTAGGTACGTAAATAGCTAGCATTGGCTTTAAAACCATTGACGGATGAAGAAATAAAACTTAAATTTGGACAGCAAAATTAACATCACGGTTACAGTGCATAACTGAAGCAATTGAAAATAAAATTGACATACTTCTACTGCAAGAACCTATGTGCAAAAGATTGGCGAAAAATTTATCTTTCCATTATTTGTTACAAGATACACGTTGGAAGCAGAGCAGTCTGAAGGGTTCCAGGTCTAGGCACACTCAATAAAAAAATTGACACAATACTGCGAAAAATGACAACTTTGAAATAGACCTATCTCCCATGATTAGAAAAAGAGAGCTTCATTGTAATAAATACAAGTTAGAAAACAATAAAAGATGACATGCGCGCGCAACTCGTAGGCTGCAGTGTAGCCAGATTGTATTGTTGCAGAACAAATGTAGACAATACAAATCGAACATTATAACATTAAAGAAGTAATATAGTCTCAAGGGTTTCACAACGCCTTAAATCAGACACAAGAAGAGCTTTAAAGTGGATAAACATCGTTTGCACTTTTATTTTGATAAATGTTTCATCGGGCAACATCGCTCAATGAAATTGCAAAGGAATATGTCAAGTATAATCTAACATAACCTTAAACGAAACTGCGGTGAGTTCAAGTAATATGTAAAGTATTAGCTTGCTCTTTGTCAAATTACACGTTACAAAGAAAGAAGGAACGATTCATTCTGAACTGGCTCCTGAATAAGAATATGACGCAAGCCTGTCATAAACTTGCTTCTCATTGGACGCTCACCTGCAGCCTACAAGCGACGCGCGCAGTCCAGGTAATAGGAGATCGGTCTATTGAGCCATACTTACACATAATAGTTGGACTAACCGATCAAGACAGCGTGCCTCTAATAATGGGCATAGATTCAAACGCACATCTCATCAATCGTGGTTTGACAAAAATAATGACAATAGAGGAAATAGTTTAGTGGAGTACTTCAACACCACTAGGTTTCTTTAACATAACGCCGCTTATAACCAAGAGACTTATTATAGTGCGCTTGGCAGCAGCAATATTGACCTAACAATTGGCACTAGAGACACATTAGATAAAACAAAGACTGGAAAGTCTGGCCTGACACCCTCAGTGATCACAGCTCATATAACTACACTCTGACCCGATTAAATGAACTGGGAGAAACAGCCAAGTTTAGACAAAAATAAACATCAATATGGCTCTGGATATGGCAATAGTTTGAATAGGCAGATTGAGCGAGAAATTATTCGGAAACCAAATACAGATAACACCGGAAAATAAGTGGTCCTACCCACTAACATGCTTCACGAAATAACTGAAAGGAGCATTTTCTTCCCAAAAGAAAAATACCTATATAATAATAAGTCCATTTGGTGGAATGAGCGGTTAAAGGAGCTAAAAGTCAAGGCTTACATGATGCTGAAGAAAAAGAAGGGCAGAGAAGGTAACTACCTAAAAAAGATAAATCTTGGGACGAATTTGTCAAGGACAGCATGTGGAGCGATGATCCATGAAGCAAACCTTACGAATAAGCAGCAAAAAAGTTAAAGAAGATACACGAATGGGCTGTGGGAATATCAATAGAGCTAGAAGCGCTAGATACTTGCGAATCATAGTTGAAGAAAAATTACCATTTCAAGAACATACTAATCACATAATGGACAAAGCAATCACTATAAAAAAAAATTACTAACAAGAATTTTCTGTTCGATGAGTCCTCACTCAGAACTATATTTTACGGAGCAATAATGCCACTATTCACATACAGCTGTAGCTTGTTCGACAACAAGCTAGGGCATGCAAGAATCACATACATCTGAGGGTAAGTGGCCAAAAATATTATGATTGTCGTTTCCATTACTAATTATGGAGGCACTTGATACAAAAAGACACAAGAATGGCATTGCAATTACCCGAGACAGCATCGAGGCAGAACAACGACTAAGCAAAAAGAGACTCAAAGAAATGCTTAAGGGCCGTACTAAGATGGCAGAATATATGGGATGAATCTGACAAAGGAAGAGTCACATATAGCATAATTCCCAATGTACGCGAAATACAAAACTTGGACATGAAATTTAAAAAAAAGATGACACAGATGCTGACTGGACAGGATCAGTTTGTGTCTAATTATAAGCGAATAGGCCAATCTAATGTTACTACATGCAATTTATGCAACAGCCAAGAGGATGAAGACCCAATACATAGATTGTACTACTGCTACACCGGACTAACTATTGAAAGACAAAAAATCTGCACCCTGCTCAAAGCAAGCTATAACAATTGGAGACATGCAAAAAATACTTGGATGGCATTAAGAACGTGGATCCATTCAACCTGATCAGCTTCCTGACTAGCAAGGACGCCTTGGACGTGCTAGAAGACATGGTGAGGGTCAGAATCTGTCTCGCTCCACGCTAGAAGTACGGAATGAAATCTTGAGTTGCGGACCTAGAGTTAAGGAACTATGTAACAACCAATTATTATGAGAATTTGTTACTCATAAGCAATAAATAAATAATTCGGTTTGCACGAGCCAACATTTTCACAAGCACACAAGGAGAGTAAAAAGAACCTCCTGGGTAACCAACTCACAAACAAGAATGGACCATAACCTATGAATTAAAAATGGCGCACCGCACAATGGCTTTTGGACACATTAAGAACTGAAAGACAATACATTTCCGCACACATTGTATCAGGGCGTCTTCAGTCTCCTTCAGAGACAGTGGCACAAAGGTCTTCTCAGCAAACTTCTATCGTATGGTTTTCCCGACAAATTTTGCCATTGGCTAGGGAGCCTTTTCGAAGGCAGGTCACTGGAATTTGTGGTTGGTGGTGTGTCTTCTGATAAACTGGCTGAAAATGCCTTCTTTCCCAAGGCTCAATTCTGTCCCTAACACTGTTTCTCATTTTTATAAACGATTCATTGAATGTGACAAGAAACCCCATATACAGCTTTTCGGATAATTCTAAGTTGATGGTATCGTTCTCTTCTGACAAACCGCTTACTGCAGCCACTTCCACATGCCTCGCCCGAGAACAGATTCACTCTATGAACAGTGATCTTGACACCATCACCAACTGGGGCCTTTTAACAACCTAGTCAAATTCAATGCTTCCAAAACTCAAGCAACAGTATTCTCAAATAAAAATTCTTCCACCGATGATAACCCAGTTTTAAGGATGTCAGGATAAAACCTTTCTATCATTCTCTCAACCTATTCTCCTTTATAAGGTTCAAATCAGACTATGTATTGAATACTGTTCCCACATCTGATACCTATATACAGGGTGTCCCAGGTAAAAGTAACTACATGGCGATTTCGGAAACGGTATGAGATACAATTTTGGTTGAATGGGAAAAAAGTTGCGCTATTCCGAGCCCAATCAGATGCTGTATCGAAATTGAACATATCTATAGTTACAAAGCTATGATGAAAAACACAATTACGGCATTTGCTTCACAACCAACTAAGTGAAAAACTGCTTTTTTTAATACATTTTTCCGTCATCAAAGATACACTTGTTATACATGGTTTGAAAGCCCCTTTTATGGTCGATTTAATGACGTGAAAAAAAATACAACGGCCATAACAAATAACAAAGTTGACTATGGTTGCAAAAAAACTAGAAGGCCTGGAAAATTTTTGTTGATGTCATTTGATTGTCCGTAGTCGTAAAACTACTAAATTTTAATTAATTTGCTTACAAAATGGCGACGATATTTCAATTTTTCGAGGAACACAAATTTTAATTTTTGTTCGATATCTTGAAAACCCCTGCAGATATTTCCAATTTCGATGCAGCATCTGATTGGGCTTGAAATAGCAACTGTTTTCCCATTTATCCAAAATTGTATCTCTTACCGTTTCCGACATCCCCATGTAGTTACTTTTATGTGGGACACCTTGTATATCGTGTGGGGCCGGATTCTCGTCTCAGGGAGTAGAGCTTCCGATAGAACTAATGTTTTGTCCTTGTCAATTTAAACGAAAAGTAAACAAGAATGATAAAGACGAATTTCTTTTACTCTCGGGGAGCTCGACTCCCTAAGACGAGAATCCAGCCCCTGGAGCCGATGGCTCTATTAAATGCAGAATGCGGACTGCTCTACTGGCCAAATGTTTGGAGAACCATCCCTTCATCACAAATTCTCTATATCGTCGAAGAGCTGAAAACAACTTAGAAATATCTAAGATCAAAGCACTAGCTTCTCATCGACTACGTTATTGTAAGTGACGAAAACCAATATGTGAAAGTAACCAGAGCTACAATGAATGCTGGACTGATACACCCAATGGTAGGATCTGTGAATGTCTAATACCACCAAAATGATGGCAACCAAAGCAGGAATTAGAGTTTCCATCTCGTGTTTAATTTCATAGGTGTTGAGCATTGATATCTCGGTGCCAGTAACTTAAATCTATCGTCTTCAATAATTTCCGAGATAAATCACAGTCATAAAAACACCGCCTAAACTTTTTGGGGCTCACTTATTAAAAAACTTTTGGTACAAAAACTTAAGAAGCTGACCCTGTCTATTTCTGAGCACTGTGTTAGTTTAGTTGAGTTTCACAAATGGTCTCCTAAAAACCCTGGTTGGTTTCTCTACTATCAACATCACCAAGAGAGTAAATAAGAATAACTGTTTTTCAGGCATATCAAAACCGAAACCGCCAAAACGCCAATTTCAACATTTCAACCACTTACCATGTATCGTAGCGGCACCACAAAGGACCCACTTATACAACACCGCCAGTACTATAAACTGAATCATGAGGCTCTAAATAACACGAGACATCTCGACGATGTCAGACGTTGACACATGACAGCGGAGGCATTAAATTACGAGCCGTGTCACCTGAAAATCTTTTACCTGGTGCGGCCCGACCTGGTGCCAACCTACGACGGAATCCCTGCAGTCGCAGACAGCAGGAGAAAAAGATGTCTCCGGCTTGCCGTCTATTTGGTTATTTATTGAGATACCTTGTCGTGTTTTAATACGAGCCACAGACGAAGATATAAATCAGGGTTTGGATTAATATTGAACGAATAGCGGAAAATGACTTCGGGTTATTTTACTGGAAAAAATTGACTCGTAATAACTGGTTTTAATTTACTATAAGGTTTGTGTTTTGCTGCAATGATTTTTCCATGCTACTTTTACTCTTCATATACAAGTCAAAAGTGTATCAACTTTTCTTATTCTATACGAATTTATTACACAAATGAAATGTTTACTCTTTATAAGCTTCAGATGAACGGGACTTGAAATCCCCAATAATTTATAAATTCCATGTTTTTAAATGAAGCAGCTATATAGGTAGTTGGCTTGATTCCTTAATCAAATTCCTCAAGAAAAAGATTAATGTGTTAAAAATAGACATTCTAATAAGTATACTCATTAAAAATGAATCATCAAAGATAGTATTTAAATTAATTAACTATGAGATTAACATTTTAAGTCGTTTATTTGGGAACACCCATGGTCAGGTGAATCATGTAAGCAAAAATGTTCGATACCTGGGCTAGATTTGAATTTTTCAGCAGAAACTCGAATTGTTAGATTTAATGAATTGTTAACGTTATTAAGGAAGACAAGCGGAATAAACTAGATATGCCTAATGATTGAAAACCTTTTGTAAGAAATCGTATATGAACCTATTGTACCTGAAAATACAATTCCGATAGGAGGTAGAAACTTTTTTTTTTTTCATTCACTCCTAAATTTTTTATATAATTTCAGGGAATTCAGGTTCCGGGTTCCGTTGAAATAATATACAAATATATAATTGATAGATGGACGATGTTGGTTAGCTCACACCTAGAGAAAATTCCAAATGACTTAGTTTTAGCATATCAAAGAAAAATACCGGAAGACAGAAAGTTTTGATGTCTGCCCTGATTTAGTTCAAGGCCTATGTTTCAACTTGGTATAGTGTCATTTTTATCTGCTTACCACTTTGAAAACTCATCGGAAATTGAGAACTTAGTAGGTATATCAATATCCAAAGATGAACTTATAGAAACTACATCTGTGAGGTATTATTATCCATTAAATTGTTTAACTACAATTATAATTTATTTATCAATCTTCAGCAAATTGTTCTTTGATTGAAATTTCTAATCCATTAAAACCCGCTTGATTACCTTCATGGTAACACCCAAAAACTTATTCCCATTAAATAGGGAGCGATTGTATCCCGTATAAAACCCGATCCAACAAGAAATTGTTAAATTAGGCAATTCTCACGCGTAAATAGACACTATACGCGATTAACTCTGGCGACAAAACAATGAAACCCTACGCCATTCAGCGTTCTAGCAATCAGTCATCCAGATACGGCTCATCAATTTCATGACGCATTATTTTATCATTGGATTAAGGTTAACTTTGCGTCCCCAGCCGCTCCAGATTTTACGCATTGTTTCCAAGAGAATTGCCCTGTAGGCTTCTCATATAAACATGGTTTATACATATAACGGCGACCTTTTCTTTTGTTTTTGTTCGTGTTATAAAAATATATATTTTGATTTATGACTGTGTGAGTACAAAAACTAATAAATAACCAACGTGCGGGAAAAACTGGGCCCAACATCAAAAATAATAAAATACCTAATCCCAAAAAACTATGTATTTTTTTGGGAACAATAACTGAGAAGGTTCTTGATAATAAAAGTTTTATGACGGTCATACTTCACAGTTCAGGTAAGGGGTACTGATTCCCATATTACGTATAGACTCTGATATATAACCTATTAAAAAATTGACATATCTTGCAGATTAGGAAAGAGAAATTCTAAGGATATTGTTGCGGAAACTTTGAAGGTGACAACATAGATGGCGCGGTGTGGCCTGGAAGCTGGCAACCCACAATACATGGCGCGCCGTCCTATGCCGGTGGCCCTGAGTGTTTTTGACGTATAAGGTGGCTATGGGGCGTTGTGGGGGTTCTATGAAGACAGTTGTTGTTTATTGTTGTTCTGTTCGTTTTGTTTTTAATTAGAGAAAGAATTATATAAGAACACGGTTCAATTTTATTTATTCTCGTTACATATCAGAAGTGGGATAACCCATAATCTTAAATGACTGTAAATTGCGGAGGACACGGATACAAGGCTTTCAGACAATGGATCGATCGCAAAAATATTAAAATTCAAACAAAAACCCTAGAAAACGGCGAGAACCGGACTACAATAACGAGTTATTGGAAGACGAGTACACTAAAGATGTTCTGAATTTGGAATTGAACGAAGGGAGTGACCAGCTACATGCCCCAGGTGCGTCTGAGCATGAATTACGTGAAATATTATTGCTTAGGCGTGAAAATCGTCGCTTGATGCTCGAGGCTGAAATTCAGTAAGAGGTCCAACGTAGGGCAGAGGCTCAACTGGCAGCCTTCCAGGATACCTTGGCGAAAGCGATTGCAACAGCGATCACCTGCAATTACAAGCTGCGTTAGTGTAGTGCAGACTCCGAGAAGTCACATCCAGGCGGAGGCACTTGCGAACGCACGAGAGGTAGTATCTCCATCAATATCGACTAATCCGGAGAGACATAGTGACAGCACAAGTGCACATACACCAAGACAGGAGCGATTGGAACCATCAAAGATTAGAGGAGTGTTGTCCTATTTTGATCCTGATGCACAGAGTTCAACTGAGGCCTGTGATAATGTGGAGGAGTGGTTGGCACTCGTGGAGCAGCTAGCTCGAGCTCATGACTGGGACGGCGATGGGAAAATTTTACAGATACATACATGTGTGCGTGGTGAGGCTATGCGATGGTCCAACAATCAGTTAGGCGCATTGGAACGAGAGGGACTGCAAGAGCGCTCTTGGCAGAAGTGGAAGCAACGATTGCAGGAGGCATTTCCCCGTGTATACGGTTATAGGGAACAACTGGACGCCATTTCAAGGAGGTCAAAACAACCTAACGAGACTTATACCTGCTACTACCGTAGTGTTCTACGAATGTGTGAAAGGTTTGGCGCCTCGTCTAGAGGCACCGTTACTGTACTTATAGGTGGACTGCCACGTTAACAGAGGACCAATGCAGAAGTGCTTGAGTGCATCACACCTTTGGAGCTATATAATCGCTTCCTCTGTAAGCTAGATGCTTGTAAAGAGTTGAGGCAAGGAGCTGACAGGCGCGACACTAAATGGAGGTCACTTAATCTTGGAGGTTCGCGGCGACAACGTGGAGTTGATAGACTTGGTTCGGCAGCTAGGTGACATGGAGGTCACAGAGGCAACCGCCAAAGCAAATGTAAAACTAGTACGTGGAGTCGTACTGGAGCCAAGGAGCATTACCTACTATTGCCGAGGTGTACGTAGAAGGGCGTGAGCAGGGCGAGGTGCTCAAGATTCCTGCCAGAATTTTTGGAACAGAACGAAATCCTGTTGCTGTTGCAGCGATCACCTTTAAAGCGACGAACGAATCTGCCAAGGTCCTTGTCACGAATTTGGGAGATGAGAACGTGGTATGGCCGGAGGGAAAAATCATCGCCAGGGCGCAATTAGTGGACCAAACACCAGAGCAGGGAATCGCGGAGGGCATGGTAAGTTTTATATCTAATATTAGAGAGCAAATGTCTGTATTAGATCTGGGAGTGCTTGATGAAAGTGAACGTGATTTATTACTTAGTGTACTTAACGTATATTCAGATTGTTTTGCCGTCGGTGAAAATGATGTAGGTACTACCAATCTGGCTGAGATGGAAATACATTTGACAAGTGACAAACCTATAGGTGAGGCGTCCTTACCGGTTGGCCAGATCGGAACGTGTAAAAGTGCAGGAGAAAATAAACGGATTACTGACTAATGGCATCATAAAAGAAAGCGAGTCAGAGTACGCCAGTCCACTGGTCATAGTCCCAAAGGAGAATGGCGACATTAAGCTGTGTGTCGACTACCTGGCGTTGAACAAAATTACTGTTAAAGACAGGTACCCTATGCTAGTCCTAGCGGCTCGCGACAACTTTCATCGAAAAACGGCAAATTGTGGTACAAGCATGAAATTTGGCTTAATTGTTTTTTAGACTATTTTAAGTGATTTGACCCGACACCGACTTTCATCAATTGGGACACCCCCCACCCTAAAATGGCGGGAAATTCAGAACGTCAGTTATCAAATTGTCAGTTCTTTTAATATTGTTTGCTTTTCATTTTCCAAATATTAATCTAGGTGAATAGTTTATATACAACTTATACAAGCTACTAAACAAAAATAAGGTTAATATTAATAGTATATTACATACCGAGTAGGGAAGTGTTTCATTACTGTCGAGAGATTTATATAGTCAATCGAGACGCGAAGCGTCGAGATTGACTATTAATCTCGAGACATAAATGAAAACTTTCCTCTGAGGTTTGTATACTATTTTATTTGCAAGCATACCATTAATTATGATTAGTCAAACAATTTTTTTTAATATTAAAAAAATAGAACAAACATGCCAAAATTTGTCGTTCACTGCTTTGACGTTTTTACCTGACATGTTCTCATTGTTTCCCAGTAAAGATAAATAAATTACAGTGAGGGAAATCGGTGAGGGAAGTCGAATAGGGAAATCGGTGAGGGAAATCGAAGAGGGAAGTGACACAGGTAAAGTGTCACTTCCAAATTTTTAAAAAGTCCGTAATGACAAGATTACATATATGATTGCAAATAAAAAATATTACCTTACATCATGAACTGTTCATTTTAACCTGGATATTAATATAGATATACCTACTATATTTTATGAAAAAAATGTGGTGTTGGTTTTCAGTTAGGTATACATACCTCTTTTCAGATTTTACTT